AAAATTTTTTCACAAATTAGCCTTCACTATATCGGCTAATGATTTATCTAATCATCAAATTATCATTAAAAAATCTTTTTCATATCGGCCTTATATCTTCTACATGATAAACAAATCATCTTAACGATATGCAAATGTTAATTTCCATATATGCATCCTAATCTTCCGCATACACTATCATATCAGTTCATAGCTATCACTATATCATCCTGCTATCACCTAGGCCGATTATTTGAAGATACAGGGAAGATATTTTTGATTTCAACCTGTGCATGGTACACCAGCAAAAGAAGACTAGAGTGGGTTAATAGCAAACTTGAGTTTCACAAATTCATAATACTTTACTATGTTAACGTTTTTCTGCAGTAATTAGTGTTTGGCATTTATTGATCAGGAGTCACATTGTGAAGCTTTAATTAATGATGGGTGACGCATGACGAAACCATTTCGTCAGGCAACTTCGAATTGATTAAATGATGCATGTCGTAACTTATGCCACATGACTAGAGATGGGCAAATCGCAATTTTTTCAAAATCCCACATATCACGCACGGATCACGTGCAGATTACGTGCGTAATACGAATCCTGCGCAGGATTGGATTACAAATCTGCGAGTTTATTAATTTTTTGTGTCTAGTAGAAAAAAGCAAATTTATTGTTCTACCGGTGGGTATTGTTTCGAATTAAGCTTAATTTGGGTCAAAATTCGATACAGTCAGACCTCTCTAAATGCACGTCATCGGGACCAGCTCTAGCACATGCATTTAGAGAGGTATTGCATTTAGGGAGGTAAAAATCTATAGATGTAATATTAGTTGGGCCCAAAAAAAGACATGCATTTAGAGAGGTGCTGCATTTAGAGAGGGTGCATTTAGGGGGTCTGACTGTATTTCGAGAATTTACGGTGAATATGTTAAAGCAGGCCAGATATTATATTAATGCCAGTCAGATTATATGGTAATGCTGGCCTGATAATTTTATATTAAAAATCTCGCGCGGGCTCTAAAAAAATTCTGCGTGTGATGCGCGGAATCACACGCAGGATCATACGCGGATCATGTGTGTGCCCATCTCTATGCATGACGTGACTCATAATGCAACTTATGATTAATAACACAACTTAAAACAAATGATAAATTTTAGGAGAATTTACAAATAAGAGCCCGGAAAGTGAAAATAATTACAAATACAGGCCCAAATTAAAAATAATTACATATAAGGGTCTAATTTTTAAAAAATATTATATATAAGAGCCAAAATAACTATGACGCTATTCACGCCTGTGGATTGATCATTAGTAAGAAACGTAAGCATTGCATAAAATATGTAACAAGAGATTGTAAATTAGTAATTATAAATAAGAAATGAAAAAGTTTTTAAATTTAATAAATTTTGTATGATTGTTATAACAAGACACTATGATGAAAAGTAAAACATTGCAAATTGGCATGGCATTTACTAATATAGAAGATATCATTCAGCTTTAGAGAGCTACTCTGTTGAAACGAACCTTATGAATAATTGTGCTAGTTTAACGCTATTTTTATGCAATATTTAAGCGAAAATGATTATAAATAGAAAATTAGGAACTAATAAAGGTCCAAAGTTAAAAAATTTGATCTAATGTTAACAATATGATTGGTATTAATGATGGGTGATGCACCACGTGATGCTAATTAAGGACCCCTGAATATTAGTATGTTATATATGTAAACCTTCGTCTTCAAACCTTATATAAGTATACAAATAAATTTTATTATTAAAGTGTACAATTGCTTAAACTTTACATTTAAATGTATGACAAAAGTTTAATATAAGTTTTTTATACTTTAATAAGTGTACAATAAAGGTAAACCTAATATTAAACTAATGTATGACAAAAATTTTAATTTTAATTTTAAGAACTAGTAACATTAATTAGTAAATTGTAGAGAAATTTACTATTAAATTTTGCTTTTTTTAAAATCTGAAGTTTCCCAAAGAAAACCTTTTTTCTTTGCTAAGTAAACATCTTTTCAAGCTTTAAGTAAAGTTATCAGCCCAGTGGATCGTGAGATATAAGTACTTTAGTCTTCGCAACTATATGTTTTCTTCTTTATAAATAAAAAAGAAAACATATAGTCATGAAGATTAAAGTACTTATATCTCGCAATCCACTGGGTCGATTTTAATGTTTTAACCGCCATTTTGATTGCAAGAAACTCCTCTACAACTTTACACAAAGCTTGAAAAGATTTTTACTTAGTAAAGAAAAAAGTTTTTCTTTGGGAAACTTCAGATTTTAAAAAAAACAAAATTTAATAGTAAATTTCACCCAACCCTTGCTTGTAATTTAAATTTTTATATATACTGTATGATATACCAATTCAATATAATAATAAGTGTACACCAATCTTTTTTTAATTTTATTTATTAAGTGTACGTTAAAGGTCAAGCAAATTTGCTATCAAAAAGCTTATTTTTGTACACTTTTGGACAAACGTTCAAAAAAATTTAGCCTAAGTGTACGATGAAGGCTTTATGTATATATTCAGGGGTCCTGTCATGGGTCAAAAATTGGGTTGACCTGGGTCAAATGGGTCAGTTAAATAGACAGATAGATTGCAATAACCAGGTTTTTCTGATATAAAAAATGAAAGAACTCTAATTATGAGCAAGGTCGAAGTTTTTTTTGACACAAAACCTGAGATTTTCTGAGTTAAAATGGTTATATTTTAAAATATATTTTCAAGCTTAATCTATGTGACTATTGACAAAAGTCAACCTGAGTCAAAAATGGCTAACTCAGGTCAAACCCAGGTTACTATTTTTTGACCTAGGTCATAGCTCTAGGGCCACCCACACATCATTCAAATAGCATTCATAAAAAATTTCTTGGAAATGCTACTTGCCAATCAGGGCTTTTATTATTTTTGAAAAAATCCACAGGGCCTGGCTTAGTTCAAAAAGAAGAACCCTGTACTGGTACCAGTTCCTTTTCATTATAAAACCTAATAATCTTTGGGCTTCAGCATCTATCAATATATGATAATATCTCTCTTTTAGGTTGAATGATATAAACTACTATTCTCAACCAACTATTCTCAGTAACCCTCCTAGACCTTCAAAATGAAAGGTTTTCTGCAGTAGAGTTTGGTTTAGCCTTCTCAAGTTGATTACTAGACAAAACTTCTTGGGCCTTTGTTTTGGGACCAGAAAAACTAGGCTTATTTCTAAAAGAATTTCCAAACAGGAACAACCCTCCAAGACTTTTTTTATTGCTCTTGAGCTAAATCAGCATCACTCAATACAAAAACTAGTTCTTACTTCTTATTTATAGTCGACATCTTATACTATTTTATCTTTATTTATTTAAATATATAATGAAATTTTCTCTTCAATTTTTTTTTTAAACAATCAAATAGCCAAATAACTTTAAGGTTGAAAATTTAGTAAACAAACTAGAGCACACAGCAGTACAGAAAAACTGAAGCTGAAAAATCTATTTATCTGCTTGTTACTTAAATTAGAAACACTATAGTACCACAAATCAAAGTTGCAAAACATTTGTTTATTAATCAGAAAACAGGTAAAAGTATATGAGTAAATATATATGAAAAAATCAAACAAAGTCGGGTTAGCAGAAAATACAAAAAATGACTTTTTCTGATACAAACCCTGTTCTCCATAAATACTATTTATGATTATTAATTTAAATTACTACTTTATCAAGTCACTATAAACTTATAGAAAAAAATATTATATGAAAGTCAATTATCAATAAATCAAAATCACAAAAAAAATAATGCCTAATCAAACAATAAATTAATGACCAGAATAATACATCATACAACTAGCATATCCCATGATTAATTCAAGACAAAAAGCTGCTCTGATACTATCATATCAGGTAGCTAAATATTACCATATTTGCATATAATAGTGGGCTGGGGCACTAATTTGGATTTGACTTTTTAAAAAATTTAGCTATTTTGCTCAAAATAGCACCTATGTGTGTTCTAAATTAATATGCACCCCTTTATATAACTTAATACAAATGCATTATTTGGTTTAATCACTAATGACTTATTTAAATTTGTAAGTAATTCTTTGTATACTTATTATTTTTGCATTAAATTTTAGCAATTCAATCTTGTTTTATTAAACATCTATCCAATAATAATTCACATCATGACTTTGTTTATATGAAATATGAAATGTTGAATAAAACAATGCAAAATTTAAAAAACTTAGAACAAATTTAAAAGAAAATATAAAATCTATAAAAAAAAATTTATACAGTAGTAATATCGACTATATAATTTAATATAAGCTTATGATCTCAGTTTGTGATGCTTAATTAATTTACACTACTATTGTTCATAATACTTTAATTAATCCATCCTTCATCATCTACCATTTTATCAAATGCCCCTTGGTTAACTATTTCTATATCAACTATTCCTTCATCAAACATTTCTTCATTATAATTAAATATATTTTCTCTATTATAGTCAGCTATATTTTTATCATCATTAAACATGCTTCATTGTCATCAAAAATTTCTTTATCAATCATCATCTTATTATAAAATGCTTCTTTACTACTTTTAGCAACTATTAAAGAATTATTATTGGTATCTTCTACATCCAATTCTACATCATTTAAACAATTTTCAACAATTGTCTATAAGCAACTTGACATCTTGTAATCTTTACTACTATCAGGATTTAATATAATACTAGCTTCAAATAACTTGACTAATAACTCAATATTAATTTTTTTTCATGTTTTTAAAACCTATTTACAGATTAACTCATAAGATGCTTTTTTGCAATTTCCTTTTACTGTATATTGTTTTTCTCCTTTGCTTATCTATTTGTCTTGTCTTTTTCTTAATCAACTTTTAAATAGCTTATTAACAGAAATATCAGGTAGTTGTAATACACTTGTTGTTTTACTAGATATTTCTATAATTTTTAAACCTTCTATATTTAGTGTTTTTATAATATCATAACAAATGTGGCTTGCATAATGATCAACAAATATTATACCTTTATTCTTAAAAAAACTACTTGGTTGTCATGAATTACTTTAGAAATATATGTAAATAACATTAAATTACAATTTATAGTTGTATAAGATGCTCCTGCTACAACAATATTACTTGAAAATTTTCCTTTTGGCTTTTTTTGTAACTAAAATAATATCAATGCTGGAAGTTTTTCACTAGAAGCCATATAGCCTAAAACTACTGTAAAGCGCAAATCTTTTGTTATATTATGTGTAATTTAAAAAAAATTTTGAACTATTTGTGGCATTTCTTTTGGAAACTTTTGTGCTATCTGTGTTCAAGTACATTGTACTGAGTTATGTTATTGTATAAAGTATCTAACCCAACCTCGTGAAGCTTTAAAATTTTCTATACCTGTTGCTTCACTTAATTCTTTAGCTTTTTTTCTAATTATAAATGCTGTAACATTGTTTCTTTCTTCATAGTTTTTTTTTACAAATAATAGTAAATGCTAGATACATTGGCTTTCTGCTATAATCACTAAGTACTCATGCTTGTCTTGCATTCAGATTAATATTACTTTTGACTACTTGAAGTTTTGACTTTTGTTTCTTTCATCTTGAATACATTTTCTATCAATATTATAAAATTTTGCTGTACTGTAATTAGATATACTTTCTGTATATGCTATTATTTCTAACTTGAATATAATAGTATAACTTTTGTTTTTCTTAATAGTAACTCCATATTTGAAAAAAATAATATGTAAAATAACAAAGAACATGAATCAACAAAATTGACTTTTATATACTGTGCAATCATGGGAACTATGCATACCAGTAAAAATTTCTAATAAAAATTCTTTGATTAGCGATGAATATTCAAATTACTATTAGCTTTATAATGAATAAATTATTACTATTTTTTTTTTTAAATTTGGCAATCCTGCCTTTATTGTATTAGGAGTACATAATTTAAATACATGGTTTTCGAACTAAAAGCCCACAATATACTCAAAGTTTTCTACCCTCCTACTCTTCAATAAAGACTTACTCAGCTGCTTGTAATGGTACCCAAGTGCAAGCTGCTGCAACAATAATTCACTCCTCTTTGGCATATAACTTACTAGATAACTCTCTGAAAAAATTACTAAAAGCTTATTGCTAGCTTTGTCAAGATTGCCTTTTTCTTAACATTTTTTCTTCTTCAAAGGGGTTGTACAAATGGGGTAATAAAACAAAAAACACAGATAAAATGAAAATGACAAAAAAGAAAAGGAAAAACAAAAAACAAAAAAGAGTATAGAAAAAGAAAACAAATATGAAAAGGAATATAAAAGAAAAATTACAAAGAAAAGAAAACAAAAAGGATAGCAAAAAATTCCATCTTTTTAGCACTACTATTATCTATGCTAGGCTAAAAAAAAATTATATAACAAATACGATATTTGTATATATCTAGTGTAAAGCTTTGCCTTATCAAATAAATTTCTAACTAAATTATCCGGATTCCTAAATAATATAAGTGGCCAATTTCAGTATTATGTGAAGAAGCATGGTCTATAAACAAAACAAACCAGATACGTGATTGCAGTCTGCCAGAACTGTCCAGATTTAGGAGGTGTAAACAATGCTGGTCTTTTGGAGGGAGTAGGCTGTTTTGCTCACTTTTGTGGGAAATTTTGGAAGAGTGGTGAGGAGGTGGAGAAAAGAGATAAAACTACTTTGTTTTGTTTAATAAAAGAGTATATATTTTCTTTACTAAATACACTGAATCCATAGAAAGGTGCTAGTATTCTTCTTATTTTTTCAGGTAAGTGATAAACTCTGGACTTGTCGGCAAATAGCGTATGAGAACTATTTCTAAACGACAAGTACCTGACCCATGATGAGTGATAAACTCTAAGAAAGTTAGCAAGTAGCATATGAGAACTACCTCTAAATAACAACTGCCGAGTTATAGAGCTTGAGGACTACTTCCAAGACTGTTTCTATCTTTATAAAAGCTTGTATTTTTTAAGAATTTTGGATTTTTGTGGAAAAAAAAGTGAGAATGTAAAATATAAAATCAATGAATAAATTATTTATACTTATATAAAGCTTTATTATTATAGTATTTTTATTTGCAGTCTTAAAACTATAAACTTGCTTAATACTAATATTATTATTTTTTTAAATATGTAGTTGAAGGGCTTAATATAAAAAGTATTAATTTAAAGATTCTATGGGGCAGTAGTATGTATATAATTTTAATAATATATTAATTATTTTTTCTTAATGCTAAATAGTTTATAGTATGTATTAGATAATTATTAAATTTTTTTGCATATAATGCAGTATAAATAATAATATAAAAAGTTTGATAAAAATGAGATGCTATAAAAAAAGTCTAGATATTTGTCATTTTGTTGTTGAGGTTTTTTTTTAAACTTACTCTATATTTTGGAGTTATTTATATATATACTGACATCAGATTTTTGAAGTAACTTAAAATCTAAAAACTTGGTTTTTTCTTGATAGCATTCATATATATATATATATACGTATATACCAATGTATAATATTATTATTATTATAAATCTCACCCAATCCTAATTTGACCTAGAATTTCTTTATTATATATATAAAAGTCAACTCTATAGTATATATATAAATTGATAATCAATTAATTTATATATATATATAGTATATAGAGTAAAAAACTAGAAGTATTTTCTCAGTTTTGGTTATTACTGAAAGAGAAAGAGTAATTAACTCTATTTAGATAATTTAATAAATTAATTAAATATATAATTAACATTATTAACAATTACTTATATAAGAAAGTTTATTACTTTTTTTTATTTTTTTATTTTTTATTTTTTTTTTAAGGTGAGATCACTTCTCTAGATATTTTTTATTATATTAACTATATATATTACATCTATTACAGACATGTGATACAACTAACTTTTTCTATATGTTGAGGCTAAGGCTATGTTCAACTATCTATATCTGGGAACTACTTTATGCGATAATTCGAAGTATCTTTAATATTACAATTTATCTCTGATCTAATACCAGCTAGCAAGATAAGTGACCTACCAGACTTAGGTTATTTGTATCCCATGCATAACAACCTTTCTGCAGTTACTGAAGTTTCCACTTGCAATTTGTTGTCATACTTCAAGTCTATCAATAATGTCCCGGGTCTCTACCTCTATAGTGTAGAACTCTAATAAATCTGCAGTTCCTTGACATATAACCCCATTGATCACTTTTTGCCCTTATCTGGTTTACAACAACCCTAGTACTCACATTTAAACCGTCTTCTTATCCAGATTCTTTATCAGTCCCTCCCTTACTTCCAGCTGGCAACCCAGAAGAGTTGGTCTGCCCAGGCTTTAGGTACCTAAAGGACGCCCTTCCCTTGGTCTATAGTTTCGGAGTATATGTCTTTTTCCTCCGATGCGACAACTTGGCAGTTTAGCTAGTGAGTTTTCCGCCATAGAACCTAATTGCTCGGTTCTCTGATCTCAGGCCCTGGTTTAAATTCAGCCCTTCTATGATACTGTTGAAGATCACTGCTATCTCCAGATTCAGGTTTTTTCAAATAGGTTTTCAGTTATGCCAGTTCCTCTATTACTAGATGGTGTAACTAAAGTTACAGATTTAATTCTAGATCCAACCAATAAACATGGCCGTTAACCGAACACAGGCCTATTTTTCAAATATTGTCACTAGTAGAATTTGAACTCTAGATCTGCCACTTGGAGAGGTGATGACTAGACCACTACACTAAGTTATCACACCTTCTAGAAAGTTTATTACTATATATGAATATCTCTACTATTGCTATTAAAAATTTTTTAATAGTAAATACAAAATTAAAAAGTATATACAGTACCAGACAGCAAAACACATCCACTTTTTATTAATAAAAACTTTAAACTATTATAACTTTTTTAAAACAAGTTAAATCAAAAAACCCTTCGACAAATTGATAAATATTTAGCTAAACTACATTTTTGTCAAAAGATTTTTTATTATTCTTTGTTTTAAAGAAGTTATTAAAGATTAAAGTTTATAATGATTTAAAAAATTGGTGTTTAATATAAAAAAAAGAAAATATATATGTTTAATTAACCAATAATAATCGATTACATCAAAATTAGCCAATCAGAATTGATTATATAAGCATCAAAAATTGGCGCTCTATATGTATAGAGTAGATGTCTTATGCTGTCTGGTACTGTATAAGATAATATATTTTTTTATTAATACTTGAAACAACTATTACTAATTTAATTATTATTATAGTGCCCATGTGGTTTATTTTGAATACATTATAGGATTCAAAAAATCACATTTTGACTCAAAATAGGGTGCATGCACGCTTCAAAATAGTGTGCAGGGGTCTAAAATAGCATGTTTATTATGCACAAATATAGTACATTAAAATACGTTAATTTTGAAGTATTTTGATAGTTGATAATGATCTAAATTTCAAGCACTAACATGAAATTTCAAAACTAGAATTTTCTGAAAGTATATATATTTTTAGTAAAGTATATTTAATAGTATCATGTCTTATTTTCTATAATTCATAGGTTGAAACTTTACATCAATGTATCTATAACATGCTAGAAATGTTGTCTAGGCAAATACTTTTAATTATAAATATAATATTTAATAAAAATTTTTAATATTATATTGGAATAAAATTCTTATAATTAATTTAAAACCTCTTCTCTGACTTTAGTTTGATCTTATTGATCTATTTCAACTAATTTACTAAACTCTATTTTTATATTATTTCTAACAAACATTGCATTACAAAATCCAATGATTAATCTAGAAGAGTTAAAAATTACTGCTGGTAATTAAATTTTAAAAGTTTTTTGCTTCATAAAATAGCATTTGAAAATTATATCAAACCTACTTTGGATACATTTTTATTATTTCATATTTTTTTTTTTAATGTTAATAGTGAAACCTTGCTCTTATTTTTATTAGATTTAATCAAAATTTCTTACAAAATCAGAAAAAATTTTATTGTATAAACCTAATGCTAAGAATAAGAACTTAGACTAACTAAAAAGACCTAATAGACAAGCTTAATTTTTTATCTGCAGTCTAAACTAACCAGAGTGGCCAAAACTCACCTAGATTTGAGTGTTAGTAATAATATGAGATGGGTGTATTAGACATTTGATCCAGTAAGTATATCATGCTTTAATTTTGTGTAAAGGGTTAATTAAGTTGGATTCAATGTTTGGCTGATTAAAGATATTGAATATATCAGGGGTGTGTATAGAAGAAGGTGGAGATGGAGTTGTAAGATCAATTTGTGATCTTGATATACAATAGGGAATTTATAATTTTTTATATATTTGATGATTAATTTCAAGAAGGACTTTAATAGTAAGAGATGTTGCTGTTTTGTTGGATATAGTATACTTGCTTAATGTATTGATAAATTTTCATATTTTTAAATATTGTATGATTATAACTTATTATTTTTTAATTATACATATATACTATTATAGCTGTTAGATGAAACTTGGAGGTTTCACACTAATGAAAAGCGAAATCTACTTTGTCTAAAATCTTAAATAACAAACTGATAAAACTACTAAGAATAATAAAACTAATAAAAGATGAAGAAACTGATTAGCATATACTTGTTAAATTGTTGAAGCAACAAAAATTGAATATACAAAAGAAATGATCATTATGTAAAGTAATTCAAGGGTAGCTACACTGTTTCACTGATTTTGGCTTAAATAAATGCTGAGATTCAAATTACTTATTTAAATTCAAAATCATCAAAAAGCACATTCATTTTCAAAGTATTGCAATATTTGATAAAGCACTCAGGTAGAACAATAAACTTTTTTTAAAATATTCTTTAAAAATCTTTGGTGTGATATGTTACTTTTCCAAATATTTTCGTATCTAGAAAATTGCTACTACCAAGTAATTATATAGTTACTTTATAGTTAATTGCAAATTGCTATTTGCAAGTTTCAGTCAGTAAAGAAAGTTAACTTGTGATTTCTTATAATTCTTTATATATATATATTATGAAATAATTATAATATATATTATTGTACAGCCATATTGTTACTGCCATACCAAATTTTGATCATAATTGTACAGATCTTTTTTCTTTTTTAAACTAATAATGCTATAAATAACTGATAAAATTAAAAAATTTTTGCATATAAAAAAAGATAAAAGAGAAAATAAAATTTCGAGTTTATATATTCTAGAGTTATGTTATTTATTTAATATTATCAAATACATACAGTATTAACAACTACCTATAAATATTTTTATAATCTCTATTAAAATAGAAAAAATATGATAACTATAATATCTTTTAAAATAGAAAATAATGTAGGATACCAAAAAGTTGAATAGAACTATCCCTTTCCATTACATGTAATTATATATAAAAAATTCAAATATGATACAATAATAAATACTAGCCAAACTTAAATTTTATTTGTATTATTATTTTACAATAACACAAGTATTACCAAAAAAAAAAAAAAAATACAGTTTTAAAAAGCTTGCCAACAACCATTTCACCAATAAACTACATACAGCCAATACTAACTATAAATAAGGCCAGCCCCTAATCTAAAATCGAACCAACTTTGTTAATAAAATTTGGGTTAAACCTCTTCTCTTGAGGTATATACATAAATGAAGATATATGATTACTGTAATTACAATAAATAATATACTCCCAATCTGATAATTTCTTCTTAATTTATTAATCTAAATACAAAAAATATAAATAAGTATAAATTGGTTAATTACACGTAAATCGAATATATAACTTACTATTAGGAATTTCAACATAATCAATATGTTTGCTGGGTTGATTTGCTAAAAATATACATAAATATATCAGAAACGTTTTAAATCAATTAAAAATATAAATATCATTACCTGCATTTACTATATTTACAGATTCAGAAACTTTTAAATTATTAAACATATTACTAATTTTTTTAAAAATATACTGCAAATATCACTACCTGGCTTAGGAAGTTTTGGAAGACGCAAAAGCCGACTTGTGTAAATAGCCTGGGGATGTGTCTGGTAATTGATCCTTGTCGATTTGACTTGATTATACGTTGAGGTATTTTTGTTTGAGTCTTTAATTTCTTTAACTTGTTTATATAATTCAGAATTCTCTTTTGCCAAATCTCCAAAAACTTGCACTATCTTACTAGCTAATACTTCAGCAGTTGGTCTGTTATGAGGCTCAGCATCTAAACATTTATTCATTAAATCCAAAAGCAGTCTGGGACCTTCGCATTTAATTTCTGGCCTAAGGCCATAACAAATTCGAATTGCTAGTTCATTATCATGTGGAATATCATGATATGGAGGATAACCAATAAAAACTTCTGTCATAATTATTCCAAAAGAATAAATATCTGATTTTTGAGTGTATTCCTTTCCGTTTGAATA